CTCACCTTGCCCTCCATGATACCTGAGTCACTTCCAAAAGCCCCACTCTTTAGAGTACAATATGAAGGTGACTAATTTAAATCAGAAACTCATTGGTCAAAATGGATTTTAAAAAAATAGGGGTAGCAAAGATGGTTTGTCCTGATGTCTTGTGAGGCCCTATCTGAGCTTATAGTTGATCTAAGCAGTTTACATATACAAAATCTCATGGATTTCCTACTCCTAGTTGTAAGTAATGGGCTTTTCTGTCAATCATTTTTTCACCTGTTCCTAGTAGCTTCAAGCCTTTGTTGACTCCTGGGCATAATGTTTAGTCAACTAAAACTTTATCATAATTGAAGAACTGACTCTCACAGTAGAAGCAGGCAACACAAAGACTAAAGGCTCTACCCCTATTTTTTTAAAACCCATTTTGACCAATGAGTTTCTGATTTAAATTAGTCACCTTCATATTGTACTCTAAAGAGTGGGGCTTTTGGAAGTGACTCAGGTATCGAGAACAAAAGGGTTGATAGTGGGTGCTGTTTTGGGCAGCTCAGATCCTCTCTTCAGAGCCAAAGGATTTACTCTGTTAACTGCTGGAAGTGCTGCCAGATGACAAGCCCCAGCTGTCAGCTCTCTCTGGGGGGGGGGAGGGGCTGCTTTTGGCTGAAGAGCTCCCCTGTCCCAACACAGGTCAATGCTTAAGGGCTGTTTCTGTTTGAGGGCACCCCATAGAGTCGCTGAGGCCTTGCTGTGACTGTATTGCATACCTCCCTTTGTCTAATCCTGTTTCTTTTACCTCCTTCACAGTTGCTGATCCCAGAGCACTCCCTAATAAACTTCCTGCATGCTAATTTCTTCTGAGTCTGTTTCCCAGGGAACTGGACCTACAGCAAAATCAATTAGAGCAGCTCTGCTTTTATCGTTTATAAATATTGACTATCCATGTAAGATTTCACTTAGGGCAAACCAAACTAAAAATCTTTGAAAGCCACTGATCTAATGTTTAAACAAATGCTTCACCTTATATGAAAAATCATCCTTATAGTTTTGTGCAAGACCAATTTATTTACGTTAATCCTTCCAAACCAACAACTAAGCAGTGTTTTCTCCTTTTGTAATTGTTTCTTCTTAGCCTTTATTTGTATGTTTCATTTACATACATACTCATGTGCTTATTAAAGCTGAAAATACATTAAATAATGAAAAAAATATTTTTCATATTACATATGTAAAACGAAGAAACTATACAACAGAAGCAATTGTAGCAGACCAGAGAAGGGCATTCAGTAGATGGCATATACACTCAAATAGTGATAGAATTTTTTACATTCCTGTCCCCTACCCTCAAAAAATAACTCTTAAGATTTTGACCTAAAACAGCTGTGGTATAAATAAGGGTATTGTATATAGAATTTTCATTCTTCTGTTAAAAAAAAAACTCACATTAAAAAATATACCGTCGACTAGCCTCTTGTAATAAAGGAGTAAACCAATAACAAAAAAGGACTGTGGTCTTATGATAAAATTCATTGTATTCTGTGGTGCATTGGAAAGCTATCAGGGAAATTTCCAACTAATTAAGTTGCTGAAAGGCTAAATGACTTTAACTGCTGAAAAGATAACTCAAATTTAATAAGCATGTGTATGATTAAGTTCTGGATCTTAGCAGGTCCCGGCAGAGCTCATTCAATAATTCTAACTTACACAATTGTCAAGGCAACAAAGGAGAAATACAGTTTGGATGCAGAGGTTGATCCTGAGCTGGGTTTTCCTCCTTCTCTATCGCCTGGAAAGCCATTCACACATCAGGCCTTAGCTTTCTGTTGCAGCATTAGGGATGATTCACTCTCAGGTATGGTGTTGCTTTGGCAATTTCCAAACTTGGTGTGGCAGCAATTAACTGATATATAGAACATGATATAGAGAGTCAGGAGAGAGGCTCAGGATGCAGGGTTGTGAAAGAGTATTATTTACTGGAAAAAAATAACGAAGTAGTTTATATACATGTTATTTAACATATATGATCTGGGTAACTAGAACATTCTAGTGGTGGATTTATTCTGTAGCCTGAAACACCCAAGCTTAGATACTTGAGAATTCCTGATCACAACTTCTGAGTTTTTTAAAAAAATTAAAATTGAGTAGATAAAAGTCTATTGAAAAATACTGGAAAAATATGAAATTTAGGTAGCATCAATGACCACATGTGTTCTAAAATATCCTTTCTGGACAAATAGTGATTTCATCAAGTACAACACTGAAAATACATACAGTCTCCTAAAAATATGCAAGTGTATGGTAGTAACACTGTATATGCAAATAATAGCAATATTCTTCCATCAAAAGTGAATCAACTTTATAAATGATAACGTATACATCAATTCACTTTCTTTATGCATTATAAGCATACTTTTGGAGTGAAAGAACTCTAAAATACAACCAATGCTAAGTCTTTGTTAATGCACTATAGGGAGTACATGAATAAATGAAGTTGATTTATTAATTTGCTAAATATTTTGAGTATATATTATGTGCCAGGCATTGTGTTAGACAATGCAGTGTATGAACCAGATAGATATGTTCTCTGCCTTTGTGACGCCTGTTGTCTAAGGGAAGAGGCTGACAGGGCTGCCTGTGTGGCTCTGGTAGGTTGGGCGGTGGACCCTTGGTTTCAGCTAGGGTAGGGATCTTGGGTTGGAGGGATCCAGCCCTGCCTCGGGCTTGTGTTCAGCACGGAGCCTGCCTGGGATTCTGTCTCTCCCTCTCCTCTTACTCCTCCCCACTTGAGTGGGTGCTTGTGTGCTCTCTCCCTCTCAAATAAATGAATAAATCTTTTTTTTTTTTTTTAAGGAAGAAGCTGACAAATAAGCTATTGCAATATAGCATGACAAGTACTGATAGGGGAAGTGCAGAGTTCTCTGAAAGCACATAAAATATCAAAACTGGATTTAATAGAGAAATTTTCCTGGGGGACATTATGTCTAAAGGTCTTAAAGCTGTGGATGTGTTGGTCGGTTTGGTGGGAAGAGGCTAAAGAGAGAAGCTGAAGCATGTACAGAGTTCTCAAAGTGAGTAAGCATGTCTCTCACAAGGAACTGAAAAAACAAATTGAGTAAAGCTGAATGTTGGAAAGGGACAGCAGTAGTACAAACAGATGAGGTGCACAAGAACCAGTTCTTGAGGGGCCTTGTAAAACAGAGTGAGGAGTAAGCACTTTATCACAATGGCAACAGGAAACCATTGAAAAGATTTAGGCCCAAGAGATCAGAGTTATGATTTAGAAAGATTACTCTGACTGTAGAGGGAAAAATGAAGGCAGGGGAGACAAATTAGGATTCCGTGATAGCAATCTAGGGAGATGATGGTGGTTTGAACTAAGTTAGTGATACTGGGAATCAAGAGAAGTGTAAAGATTAAAGACATTTTTTAGGAAGTTAGATAGACAGAACTCAGTGACTGGTTATAAGTGGGCAGTGTAGGAGACAACTGTCATTTGCTGAGATTGGAAACATCGAAAGAAAAAAAAGGTTTGGGAGAAGGATGCTGAGTTCTTTTTTATTTCGGACATACTGAACCTGAGGTACTAAGGGATAAGCAAGTACAAATGTTGGGCAAGCAACTGAATGTATGGATTTTATAATCTGTACAGTGCTCTGAACTGAAGATACTGATTGCAGAGTTGTTAGTATGAAATGGCAACGGAAACTATGGGAGTGGACACATTGTGTCCAAGGCAATGTGCAGGGTGGTGAGAGAGTAGGCTGTGTTCTCCTTATATTCTCCTTGGCCAAGCCTATTACCAGAAGTATCAACAGGTATGAAAGTCTTATTGTTTTCTCTTCTTTGACCTTTTGAAGCCATGAATTGACAATAAAAACATTTAAAATAACCTGAAATCAGTAAACATTTGTAAAATAACGGTTAAATATAATCTACAAACCATGCAAGCAGCCCTTAATTGCTCAGGATCTAGCTTTGACTATTTTGAGCTTTCTACTTTACAACAAATCTTCACTTATGCTATAATTTGCCTTCCATCAGTTCTGTAATTGTTTATTTTCTGATCATCTGGATGAATGGATATGCAGCTCAGTGACAGCCCAGAGAGATTTTCTCTGATCAAAACATGTGATTACATAGAGATGTGTTGGTTAGATGACAACCATAATTCAAAATTGCCACATGGAAAAGATCCAAATACAGTTTTGGATGGGTTGATGGGGATTTGCCTCAATATGCTTCCTTTTCGATCTATAGAAGTCAAAATGGGGATGTGACCTCTAGGGTGGTTAATAGGTGGCATGCTAACATATGTTTAACAACTGGCTTGCCAGGAGAAAAGAGCCCCGATTTGTTGTGTTTGCCAATTTTGATAGTGTAAATACTCCCCTCATAGACAATTTCAGGCTACCAACTGATGCCACTGAAGGACTGGGGGGAAAAGGTTACAGTTGATTTCTGCAAGTCAGTGCAAGCTGGCTCTGGCACACTACTGGACCGAGTATGATTTGACTGGTGACCAGGGATGGGAAAATACCTGCATATCACAGCTTAAGATATGAGAGGACTGAATTCTACAAGACATCAAGTTTTCGCCTTAAGGAAAATTGACTTATTCATCTCTGGCCAGTTTATTTGTAGGGTTTAACCTTTTCCATTTGAACTGAGAGCTGTGGTATGAATGATGTATACATTAATAATCTAATAACCTTAGCAATGTAACTTCTATGTCCTTATTCATAAGGAATAACAGTTTCTAAAATTGGCTTGTATCCGAGACTGAAATGATTGAGAACCATTTCCCATTTAATTCCTTATGCTGTGAACCAAAGAAACGACCAGTTTCTTTTCATTTCAGGGTACAAGTATAATCTACATTCTAATATATTTCATAAAAGAAAATGTATTATTTCCATCAAATAAGCAAAGTTTGTTTTTTCCCTATCAAAGCAAAGAATTTGATGGTATACTGCTCTAACCAATAAAAAATTCAGAAAGAATAGCAGCAAAATATCTCTTAATGTGATTTAATATATACCCTATTAACAGCAGTGTGCAGATACACAGTATTGACAGTCTACTTTAAATAATTACTATTCAAACTTACTTTAAACTTTTTTTTCAATATTAGCACTGGTGGAATTAGAGCCATTATTATGCATACTATATCTTTTTTATATTCCAAAGGAAAATTAAAATTCTTGGTAGCATTGGAAAAGAATGTACTTTTTAATATTTAATGCAGATATACAAAATCTCATGACTTCTATTAAAAGCCTCACAATTCTACTGTGTACAAATGAAGACACCTTTTCAAATAACTTGGCCTTATGCCAAATTCATAAAGGTTTCTATAAAAATATTTCAAACCCAATAAAACCACACTGATATAGTACAAAGTCTTTTCTTTTGTGTCAAACTTTAAAGGTCTGTATTTATACAAATCCACAGTACTTTTTAGTGCCCTCTGATTGGTATTTTTGTTCAGGATTATCTAATTTTAGACATCTAAGTGAACATTTTTCATCAGTTTTCTGCTTCAGCATGGAAGACACTGAGAACTCATGGAATAAAATTTTTAAACAGGATTGGGTAAAAACTTTACAAAGCAGAATATTAAACACTTTATACACTTTAGTTACTACCCTGCCAAAGATAAAAATACCTCATTGTCCCATTTCCCTTATTTAACTTGAATCTTTAGTACCCCTCCTTTATCTGTATAGAAGGTCTCTGAGACACAAGTGTACAGATTTTAGGTTCTTCAACAAAATCCAAAAAATCACTAAGCCATTTTCTGTTTTCAAAGTGTATTTAAAGAAATGCTTGTTTCAATATAAAACCCCAAAGTGCTGAATTAAAACACATTAATAACATGACTGGCCAATTACTGACTTGGCTTTAGCCTTAGAGGAATATTATTACAATTGGCTGTTAAATTTCAAATTTAAGCATTTGGTTTTATACTGTAATACTGTACTTTCCTATACAGACATCAAAGAAAATGAGCTGATTTTTTTTTCCTTAAAGGCATAGTAAAATATTTTAGCCATAATACAAATCAACTTTGGGGGGGAAAATCCATGCCAAGATAGGAAATAGATTTTTTAAAATCTTAGAGTAATTGCTATAAAAGAACTATAAAATGTAAATTTCTGGAAAAAAATACTTGGAAAATGTCTCTCTAGAAAAAAAATACACAACTTGTTAGATACAAGAAAATATAGCATTACCATGGGGTGCAGCCAGCAATGGATGTGGCTTATGAGACTTAAAAAATTCACAAAAGGTAATTAGCACCAAAATTGTCTAAAACTTCAAATGATATACTGAAGCAATTCCAGGCCCAAATATTACATTATAAAAAAGTTACATTTAACTTTCATCAGCCATAATAAATATATCCTTTTCAATCTTTAGAAAATGTGCTAGCTTTACTGATTTTCATCACAGTATTAAGGTAGTGTCTAGTAATTATCATTTATATTGGTTTGGGCTGAGCAGGAACAGTAGATATCCAAGTTATTTCCCAAATAATAAGGGGTTATTTGGTGGGTATGGGTGGGGACAATTATCCCATTAAAACTTTAGCTCCTTGTTTCATCCTTTTTCTTCTAAAATATTTTATTGGAATTCTCTACAACGTGGTTTGAATTCCATATCCTGTTATTTTCCCTGCTCACTTTTGGTGGTTTTAAGATTTGGTTTGGGACCAGGGTGGGGTGTTTAAAAGTGGGCACAGATCACAGTAGTAAAACAAGACTTTTGAATAAGCTACAAAATGTATATTCAACCCTGTTATTATCAAGAGTTGAGTTTAATTTGAAACAACATCCACTTATAAATTTCATTACAAAACAGCACACAATTTGAAACAAGGCAAACTTTTCGGCTTTCATGTAGTGAAATATATAACTTCACCAATCACATATATGGCTACCAAATGTGAAACAACAGCTTATTCGGCCGTATTTTACTGTTGCACATAAATAATGACTAGGCAAAGAACAGCAACTAGTCCAAGGGCTTGTAGGCCAAGGAACCACAGCATAATCCAAAAGAAAATGACTATTACTGGTTCCACAATTCGTTCTCCAAAATACATCCTTGTGAAGCCCATGTCGATGAGGCTTTTGTTCAATTCACCAAAAAGTGTTCCCATCTTTTTGTAGTCATCTCCAACAGGCTCGCCAGTGTGGTTTTGTGATTCTTCAATATCCTTTATAACAAAAACAAAAACAAAAAAACAGAAAACAAAACATAAACATAAAATGAGAAATAGGGGAAGGTCCGTAAGAATAACGACTATCTCATCGTTCTCCCAAAATACGGGGCGTATTCTGATAATCATTCAGTAAATATCTGGGAATGTTCCTTTTGATTAACATATAGAACAACTATGTCTGTGCCCACCTTTCAAGGATATGGAAAGCACTGATTTATTGATTTCTGTAGAATCAACATTGGACCCTCAACTATCAGAACACTGATTTATAAGATTAAGGAAGGAGCTGATTCATTTCCATTCATTTTCTAGTTTCCTGGGATTTTAAAAGACAGCTGCTTAAATGAGGAATCATGTTTGTATTGTCCTTATTCTTTACAATGATTTAAAAATAACTTTTCTACCAACTTCCTGTTTTCAGGCAGGGACCCAAATTGCTCTGTCTTGTCTAAGTAAGCTTTTTCGTCCATTCCGTTGACACTGAGACTTTAAGAAACCTAGCCTCAGCTGACTTGAGCAAATCTTGTTGCTACTATTGAGCATTCCTCAGCCATCACTGTTGTGATCTTTCAGTCTTGGCTTTTTTGGCTAAGGAGACCTCCGTGTAGGCCCTTGCATAGTTTCTTGTCCAAATTCTAGAAATGTCCTAAGTGTATCTTATTAATCCCATCAGGAGAGACAAAGAGTTTTCACATAGGAATAATTTTGTACACTACGTCCAAAAGTCCACCTAGAAGTCAGCTCCTAAGAAAATGTCCACGTGTACACAATATGCATATCAAAAAATGTTTACTATTTCCAAAAAATGCTTACTATTTCTATTACCTCTTATTACAAGTAAGGCCTTCACGCCAGTTATTGAGCTACTGTCTCTCAGCTTCAAACCACTCCTTGTAATTCTAGAAACATATTTGGCTCCTTGTTAGTCTCTGCCAATAGAGGGGTGAATGAGACACTGCACAGCTGGAGAAGGAAAGGGATTTGCTATCGTTTGCTCCAGTGGGTTTGCTGGTGCTGTCAGTTTTGTTCTAGCAACAGTTCTTCACTCTGGTAGTAGTAATTTCTTCCAGTAGCAGCCACTGATCTCAGTTTGGGGATTTCCCAACACTTGCAGAACCAATCTCAATGTGCCTTCTTGAGACACCAGATCCAACTTGTGGGTGCCTATTCCTCAGCTATCTTGTTCTTAGTTCTATGGGATCCCCCCCTCTGAGTACAGAGACGCCAGCACTGGGTGAGCAATGATGAGTTCTTGAAAGTCTGAGTTTCAGCTCCACAGGGCCTTTCCCCAATCTTCTCAGTTTTAGTAATTCTACCCCTTTGTTTGCTGCCCCAGCCCAGGCCTAGGAGTGGGGGCTGCTTCCAGTTGTTGTTACCTACATAATTTTTAAATTTTAGCATACTTTGTAATCCCCTGGAGGGCTTGTTACAGCACAGACTGTTGGGCCTATCACCAGGGTTTCTGATTCATAAACCAGGGCTAGGGGTTGGAGTCAGAATTTGCATTTCTAATAAGTTTCCAGTTGATGCTTATGATGCCTGCCTGGTGACCATCATTTGAGAAATCACTGCCTTACTGTTCTGTTTCCACCTTTTCCATTCTCCAACACCTAATTAATCATTCTTTGAATTAAATTATCTTTGTTGAAATCACTGATATAATTTCTCCTCACTAGACCCTAATACAGCCACAAAAGAAAAACTAAGTCATGTAGGTGACAAAGTTGTCTGGTAATTTATTAAACCTAATTGCATTTAGGAGTCATGATTCAAATCAGTCATTATTTACTGAATACCTTCTAGCTCACTGTAGGTGCAAGATGGAGAATTATTCATATAACAAAAAATTTTTAGGTATAGGGTTTGACATAGGAAAAAGTAGTATTAAATACCATTAAGTATGCTGTCTATACCAGAGGAAAGGAAACTTAGAAGACAAAAGTCACCTGCCAAAAAGAGCCAATGAATTGGAGCAAGTTTTGAGGCACTCTTTAAATACGTGAATCAAACTTAGATTCCTTTAGTAGAAACCAAAGCTTGATCATTTCAGCCATCAATATATAAATAAAAATATTTTTCATTTTAAAAATGCATTATTATCTAGTCTAAATATATACAATTTAAAGTATATATTTAAGGAAAGAGGGAGTGAAAAAAATCTAATTTTTATTTGCAATAGCAGATAAAATGATTTTCAATAGGACTTTAAAGTGATCCTTCCCCTTATAATAGCAATTTATGTAGAACAGAGTGTCATTGATGAAATAGAAAAATGAAACTTATTGGGGAAACATTGTTAATTATATTTTAAGCCAGAATTATTTTTGAATTATATTTACATACAATTTTAAAATTAGTTTTGAACTTGCATTTCTACCAAAAAAAAAAAAAAGAGTGGAAAAAACAAAATGCTGTAGAGGGAGTTGAAATCCAGAGAGTTAAAATCCAGGCTCTAACACTTAAACTGAGTGACCTTGACCAAATCACTTTCATGAGTTTCAGTTTTCTAACCCATAAAATGGATTTACATGATTCCTTTTGATAATAATTTTCTCTTCAATTATAATTTACTTGTTAACCTTTCCTCAATTTTTGTGTTTATTCCTCGCTGATGTGCCGTGATTGGGTGAATTTTATGTTTCTCAGCTTCTCATACTTTTATATGTTCCATGATGATATTCCTTCCACATTATAAAAGAAAAAAAAGTCTTGTTCTTGCCTGAGATCAAGCCCTTCTCTTCTTCAGGACAGAACTTGAAGACTACTTGATTTAGTTTGTAATTCTTCCGGGGCCTCACTTCTCTCTACTCCTCCAGTGTCTTGTATTGTTGATAATCATTTCTGGCCTTCTTTTTTTTTACTTTTTATTAAAGTTTTTTGTTTTCTTTTTTACTTTTTCCAATTTCTTTTAATCTATGCACTCATTGTACTTTGGGGTTTTCTGTTGTTACTGAAGAATTTTAAGACTTTTTTCTTTCAGTATTTTTGTGGTTGTAGTACAAAGAAAGTACCCTAATCTGATATGGTTCCTTCTGAAGATTCACTTTAAATTTTTCTACAGGCTGCTTGTGGGTTTTTCAGGGAAGAAGTAGGTGTTGCAAGACTTAAATCAAAACAAGGAATTAGCTAACTCCTAGAGGCCAAGTGAGGAGGCAGCAATGGATCGCATCGTCTCAGGTCCTGAGAATACCTGCTGGGATTGAGACTGGAAGTGGAAGACCAAGGAAGGGCTGGTCTGGGCAAGATGTGGCTGCTCCAGCCTGCTTTGTTTTTTAATATGAAAAACTTCAAGCACACACAAAATTAGAGAAAAATAAATACAACGATCCCCTATATACCTATAATCAGATTCAATAATTACTAAAATTTTGCCACTTGACTGCAGCACTTCTTAATCTGGGCAATCTAAAGGAGAGGAAAAAGTAAAAATCATTAGAAGAATGCCTAAAAGTGGCCTATATTCACAAATGAAGTTCTGTGGAAACATCCAAAATATCCAGCAAAGAATTAGATAGGTTTCAAACAATCCTAAAGGAAAGACATTTAAGCACATGGGGAAAAAGAATAGGCAGCATTTTTAAATCAGTGAGATTATAGTCAGTCTCATTACAGTATTTTCTATGTCCAGAATATCCACCCCAAATACCATAATTCTAAAAGGTACAAACATTGGTGCGCTGGTAAGGGTTTAGCAGTAGGCTTTGTCCGGGGTGGGAGTTGGGGTGGGTGGATCTCTGATTTGAATTGTTTGCCAGTTCCATAGTTTTTTCCAGTTTCTGTAGCCAGTCCTTCTGCTGTGCTCAATTTCAGGCTACTTACAATTAGCTTGCAAGGTTCCTGAAAATTTAACAATTGGCTCTTGAGGTCTGGTAGGGGCTGCCATCAGTACTCCACTGTAGGTATAGTAGTTGAGATAAAAAACCTGCATGCTTATAATTGATTAGTTTGTTTTCTCCCTTCTTTCCATCAATTAGTGCATTTAAGGCTTTTTTTTTTTAAGTTTACAAAGTTGATAAGTGGGATAGCTAAATAGAATTACTGCAATACAGTATATTGAAATTAGGAAAGTTGTATTAAGAAATATATTATGATTTGAGTAGTGGATAGGGTAGATAAAATGAAATACATGTAATGCTACAAAACTACCACAATTAAAAGAATTTTGCTTTTTCTGGTCTGCCTCATGCAGATATCAAAAGTGCATTCAATTCAATAATTTTTATAAATTCTTATTTACAATAAAATTTAAAAAGCCTGGATGGTTTGTGAGAAAGTAGTGCTCCTTCAATGCTCTCTAGCTACACGAATGATACCACCATCCATATGCCAGATCCAAAGGCCAGAAACCTGAGGCCTTCATGATTCCTCCCACATCCCTCCCTGTTACATCTAGTTCATCAACATGTCCTCTCTATTTTACCTTCTAAATATTTCCTTATTGTGTATATTGCTATTCTATCTGCTGCTGTAATCCCCAAATAATCTATTAACATCTCTTGCCTTGAGTATTCTAGTAGTTTCCTAACTGCTCTTGCACCTTCCTTGGTTCGCCTATAAACTATCTACCACACAACAGCCAAAGTGATCCTTTTAAATGCAAACCCAATCACTCCACTCTGCTTTTAGGATTAAGGCCAAATTTTTTACATGATCAAGGAGGCCCTGCTTAGTCTGGCTTCTCTCTGGGTCTCTGGCCTCATCCTGCCATCAGCCTCCCTCTGCCTTTTTGTATTTCAGCCACAAAGATCTCTGACTTCTTGAACAGGCCATGCTTTTGCCTGCCAAAGATTTGCACATGCTGTTTTCTCTGCCTAACACACTCTCCTCCCTCCCATGCTCAGTTAATGCCTGCTCCTCCTTTAGCCTCAGCCTAAGCCTCAACTCAATCTCATAGCACGATATAATGCCCTTTCAATGTATTCTAAATCAGTGTAGATGTGTGTGTGTGATTATTTGATGAATGTCTCTATCACTGTACATGAGGATATGGACAA